AACGGCAGTGAGTGACATTTCAGTGGCCGAAATGCCGAATGCATCGCCGGCACCGACACATTGGACACGTACTACGAGCTCCGTGAGAGCCGGCCGGCCGATTGGACAAGTGATTGCGAGATTTACCACGATTGATGCAGCCTGCTCTGCTGCTGCCTATCACAAATGAATTTTTGGCTCGTCTCCTTCTCCTCCTCTCACCAGGATTTTAAAGTACATTTTTACCGGGAAATAAATCTGGGTTTGCGAGGTTATGTTCAAACATCTTGGTAGTCAATCAGTTTCAAACACAGAACGAGGACCCAAATTTTTATTTTTCAGCCTTTTTTTTTGAAAAATATTCATAAATAAACACCTGGTGGTTTAATTTTCGTTTATGGACCCTGACCTCGGCGTCATGACTTTTGGCGCCGAGGAAACACGTCTTGGCGAGACGTCGGACGTGGCGGTGACCTGGCGCCGACGTGGACAAGGTCTCGGCGCCGTAGATCTTGGCGTCGAGCTGTTACCCTATAGATATTGACGTTTGAAATAAAATAAGTATAATTGTTTCGAGAAATATACAACAACACCATTGCGGTTCAGCTGGTTAGGATATGCGCGGCTTAGCTCAAAGGCCTGGGTTTGAACCCTAGCACTGAATCTTTTTTTGCTACATTTTTATAAGCAATAGAACAAGAAAAATTATTTCGAGGAACATGCAATGATCTCATTGTGGTCCAGTTGGTTTGGACGTACAGGTCTCAGCCCACAGACCTGGGCTCGAACCCGAGCAGCAAATATTTTTTGTTAAATTTTATTTTTATAAGCAATTACAATAAGAAATATTATTCCTTTATTTTTAGCGTTCTGGGTTTCACCGCACACTGTATATTATTGTTCTATTATTTCACCATACACTGTATATTTAATTTATTTTTTATTTGATTTTGAAACATTACGTACCTTGATCAAGTTGAGTTGAGTGACATGTTTATATATATATTGTTGCTTGACCGTCCTTTTACTTACATGCATATGGCTTTTGTCATCATATATAAGTTGAAGGCTTCCGAGACAAGAGTAAATAAATAAAAGAATTTATTTTACATTAAGTAAGTGTAATTTTCTTTGCCTCCCTATTTTAGTGTTGAGCTCTTTAATTTGCATACCTCTCTATTTTACATGAAATAGAATTAACAAGAAGAATGAGCTTAATGTATTAACTAAGAGCTCCATATTATCATCATTTGGACTGTTCAACTAAGTTTGGTGAGGAACGGAGGATCTCCCGCTCATAAGAAAAACACTACTACCGAGGTATATAAACTAATAAATAAATAAATACATCCATGATTATGATAATATAAGGAGGATTTGGATTTAGATAATATATAAATAAATGCACCTTGAGATGTATCCTTCATCCAAAACAAATTACAAATTAGTAAATAGTGTTCTCTCATGTTAATAATAACAAAGTTTGGTGGAACCCGTTAGTAATAACTAAATAAGCAAAAAATTAATTAATAAATGCAGCAAACAAAATTTGCCTGTTGGATTTGAACCTAGGTCTCATGTTAGAGCCTAGCGTCCTAACCTACTAGACTACAACTGAGATACAACATGTTTCTCGAAATAATTTTTCTTATTCTATTGCTTATAAAAATATAGAAAAAAAGATTCAGCGCTAGGGTTCGAACTCGGGCCTTTGAGCTAAGTCGTGAACATCTACAGCTTGTTCGTTTGGCTGTGGCTTGTCGTAAACGATCGTAAATTTCCAGCCGGAACAGTATTTTTCTCTCACACAAACCAACCACCAGTACTTCTTCACGAACCAGCAACGAAACGAACCAGCCAACCGAACAGGCTGCTAACTAGCTGAACCGCAATGGCGTTGTTGCATGTTTCTCGAAACAATTATACTTGTTTCATTTTAAACGCCAAAATCTATAGAGTAACAGCTTGGCGCTAAGATCTACGGCGCCGAGCTCGGCGTCAAGATTTATGGCGCCGAGATCTTATCCACGTCGGCGCCAGGTCACCGCCACGTCCGACGCCTCGCCATGACCTCGGCGCCATTGGTTATGGTGCCAACACATGTTTCCTCGACGCCAAAAGCCATAGCGCCGAGGTCAGGCAGCCTGTTCAGGAGGCCGTATCGTATCGTGGATTATTTACTGCTGGCTGGTTTAGTATGAGAGAAAAACACTGTTCCCGGCTAGAAATTTACGATCGTTTACAAGCAAGCGAACAGGCTGGTCTATAAACGAAAATTAAACCATCAAGGATCTATTTGTGAATATTTTTTAAAAAAAGACTGAAAAATAAAAAATTTGGAACGAGGACGCATGTGAAGTGAGTCTGTGACTCTGTGAGTGTGAAGCAGCAAAGACACATGGATGGAAGTGAGATCTCCGAGCTTTTGCAGGACGGGCGGACAAGCTAGCGGCGCGGCGGGAGGTCATTGGAAAGAGGCAAACTGGCAAAGAGCCAATCTGTGCAGCGCTTCGCGTCGCGTCGCGCCGCGCGTACTTTGATGCGCACGCTGCACAGAGCCCACCATTTGGGGGAGATTGGATTGGAACGCTCGTGCAGTCGTGCTGTTATACTGCTACCACTGGTAGCACAAACAATACGCCATGACACAGCGAGAGCCAAAAGGCCTTTCCAGCTTTCCATTTGGAGCAACTCCCTGCGTCTCTCAGGCCTTTGCAATGCAACGCAAGAAGAAAGGAATCGCCTCACAGCTTTCGGAAGATCAGCAGCGGCCGGCCGGCCGGCCAATGCTGGCTGCTTGTTTTGCTTGCACTGCATCCACTGACCTGCTCATCTGCACCAAGCTATGCTATCAGTTTCCACGAGGTCTTGGCGAGGCGTCGGACGTGGTGGTGATCTAGCGCCGACGTGGATAAGACCTCGGCGCCATAGATCTTGACGCCGAGCTCGGCACCGTAGATCTTGGCGCCAAGCTGTTACTCTATAGATCTTGACGTTTGAAATGAAACAAGTATAATTGTTCCGAGAAATATGCAACAACGCCATTGCGGTTCAGCTGGTTAGGTGCGCACGACTTAGCTCAAAGACCTGAGTTTGAACCCTAGCGCTAAATTTTTTTTCTATATTTACAAGAAAATTTATTTCGAGAAACATGTTATATCTGAGTACGCTGTGAGTCTGTGACTCGTGAGGTCGGAGGAGCAGTGCTTTGCAGTGTCTGCGCAATTTGGTTTTGCAGTGCGAGAGAGCTGATCGTTCAGCTGGCCGGGCCAGGTCAGCTGCTGAGCCATCTTTTGCTGCTGCCTGCGGCAGCTGAAGGGGGCTTTCAATTGGACGGGACAAATCATAGGGCCTGTGGTGTGTCCTAGTGATGTACAGTACAGTAGTGCAGTGCATGAATTTCTGAATAAAACAAAGAGAAGAAGCCTAATAAATCCTGCCTCCCTGTTCTCCCACTCAAAAAAAAGAGTGGAATCGCTGGTCAAACTCAATTTTGATCAGGTTGGTAAAAAATACGTGCAATATTTATATCTTCAAATAAATATATTCAACGATGCATCTAATGGTATTAATTATGTACTATAAATATTAATATTTTGTTAGATATATTTTGTCAAAATCTAAAGTTGTTAAACTTTAAAAAAATGAGAATAACTCTTTTTTAGGGACAGAGGGAGTACATAGGACTAATACCCACTAGCATTACAACAGACAACACCACGTGGCAAAGGGAAAAGAAATTTCACTTCCAAAGAAGTCAAATAAAGTCTGTTTAGTTGGTACTAAAAATTTGCAACGCCAAAGATTTAATAGCAAAACTTGCTAAAACTTAAGCAAAACTATTTTCCATAGATTTGGCATATCAATTGTAAGATGTTGGTAAATTTTAGTAGCACACCAAATGCCTGCACCTAAGTTTCAGCAACCAAATCTTGGCCATCAACCATTATCAACATGTATGTTTTCAAATAGATTTATTATAAAATTATATTATATGCTCTAGTAATATTTCTTACACACATAGTTTTTTTTATATATTTGGTCCAACCGTCCAACTTCAGATGGTTTGACTCCTTGTAAGCAAAATTTCCCTCTTTTTTAGATGGGGGGAGTACCGAGCTAGCTCCTAGCTTCTCTAGCTTCTAGCGTCCTTTAACACGAACCATTCCTGCAGTCTGTTGTTCGGAGCATATTTCACTCATTCCATACGTACAATGTATCCCTAGTATGGAGGCGTGTAAGACTGAAAAGAGCCTGAATAAAAATGCTCTTAATGAAATACACGCAAAGCGCGTTCTCGAAAAAAAAGCCTGAATAAAAATGCTCTTCATGACATACACGCAAAGCGCTTTCTCAAAAAAAAAAAAGCCTGAATAAAAATGCTGAAGATGCTGATCCAATGGGAGGAAAACATACAGCCTGGCTATCTGGCTTATAAGTCATGGCTTATCAGCCAATGAATATTATTTTTCTCTCACACCAAATCAGCCAATGATACTTTTAACCATGGCTTATAAGCCAAACCAGCCAAAATGAACAGGACGATAGTTGGATGTGCTTCTAACAAATAGAAGTATGGTGGTAAAACAGATGGCTTAGCAGTCTGTTCGCTTACTCGTATTTGGCTTATAAGCTATAACTTATTAGTCAACGAACATTATTTTTCTCACACACAAAAACCAACCAATAATACTTTCAGCCAAACGAACGGGGCGTGGATGCCACGATAGGCGAACCAAGATTGAACAAAATTACCTAGCTTCTGACAAAATTACTGCAGCAGCGTCGAGTTAACTGACAGCAAAACATCCTTGTAACGCAGGAGGATCATACGCTTGTCACTACAAAGGGGAAGCTGGAGCATACGTTTCTCCAGTGGAGTGGTCACCATACCAAAAGGGACAACACCTCGATTATAAGAGGAAGTAGAAAACAAATCACCAAATCCAAAAGAGATCCTATACTATTACACTATGTCCACAAGCAGATTGCTTCCGTTGCGATCGATTGGTGCTGGCGTTTCAAGGGTCCAGGATGTGCCGCCCACACTTGCATCTCCAGCTCAGCGGCTTGTAGTTGGAGTGGTCGTCGTAGGAGGCCGGCATTGCTCTTCCACCGGTGGTAGCAGCAGCAGCTCTGCTGCCATGGCCGAGACCCTCCTTCTTCCTCTGCTGCAGCTGCTGCGGAGATATGGGCACCTGCACTGCCTCGCAGTGGCCACAGGACCTGCACCTCCCCTCGCAGCTCGGCGGCCTGGATCCGATCACGCCCCTGATGCCTGCAAAGCTCGCCTCCTGCAAGAGCACACCACAAAAGGAAGCTTCAGTTGAGGGGAGCTGATGTTGAGAGCATTACACTGTAACCATTTGGTTGCCACTGACCTCAATGACGGAAGCTCTGGCATGGACGGCGGTGGCTCGCGTGGAAGTGAGCAGGAGGGCTACCAGGAGGAGGAAAAGATGGCCCATTTGATGACGACGCAGATCGGAAAAGGCGAGCTAGTGGGGAGGGATAGAATGGGGGAGGCGATGATGGAGGAGAAAGGCGAAAGTTGGCCACCAGCTGGGTCGTCTTCAGACTTTCAGAGTTTTCAGATAGAAATTGCGATGCTCGTGCGGCCGTTTTATGCACGCGGCCGTGTCCGTGTGTGCCGATGTGCGAGGCTTGGTCGGATTCTTGCAGGAAGAGGACAGGTGGTAACTGGCAAGAAATACGGCTGACTCATCAGGCTCTGCTTTGAGCTTTCCCCTTTGTCAGCTCAGCTCGCTATCCGTGTACATGTAGTACGCCGTACTTTCAGCCTGTTCGCTTCGACGATCGTAAAATTTTTAGCTCTCACATCAAATCAGTCAGTCATTAAACCAGTCAGTAATAATAATCTATAATCGTATACTATTGTTTTAGCCCTAACTGAAGATGCTGCTTGCGTCCTCACCTAGTCACCTGCTACGTTACTAGTAGTAGCTTGCGCGTACTCCTAGGAGACATCAATTATTGTGATGATTAATTTGCTATCAAAATTTATCATGCCAAATATTTATTTATATAGCAAGTAAAAGTTGGACCAAAATAGTTGTCATAAATTTAGCAAATCAAATCTAAGATATTAGCAAGTTTTTAAGATGGTAACAAATCAAATGGCTGTCAAAAATTTGGCTTGTCCATATTTTAATAACTAAATTTTAGCCATCAACTCTTTTGGCCTGTTGGGTACAACTTATAAGCTGCTTATAGTCAAAATAAGCTAAAATTAATAGTCAAACGTCACGTTTTTCAGCAGCTTATTCTGGCCACGCTTATTTCCACAGCTCTCATTTATACTAAAAAGTAGAAGCTGGATCAGACTGGCTTATTTTAACCGCCGCTTTTACTCTATTTGTGCAGCTTATCTGGGAAACGTTGTACCAAACAGGGCCATATCTTAGAAAAAAAGTCTTTCTTCATGGCTTTAAAATTACCATATTATCTGAAGAAAAATAAAGCTATTATTTTGAGGAAAACACCTACCTCTTTATAAATTATACTCAACACAATCATTATAAAAGAACATGACCCAATTCTAAAAAAAAGAACATGACCCAAAATACTGGTATAAATTATCCATGATTATCACTATGGAAATAGTAACAAAAAATACCTATGTGCATGTGCATCTATTATCACTTGTAGGCAAGAACCAACCCTAAAACTTCTTCAAAAGCGTACTAAAATGAGTTCTTAGGATCATCACAATATATCATGCCCTTAGTTGAATCACACAAGCAAATAGTCCTCAGAAGACTGCAAGAATAAAACCTCGCTAGTGAAACACACTAACACAAAATCAAATCGAGCATAAGCTTCACACAATTCCTCAACACACAACAACATAACAACGAAATAATGCTTATTATGAAAGAAAAGAGTGGACAAGAGACAACCGGATTTTTCCATGGTGTCAAAGTAGTTGCCACTATCCCCCTAATCAACATTGGATCACCCATTAAGGAGGGTTCAGCTCTCTTGAATCACCAGAGTTTAAGATCCACTAGGAGTACCCATTCTCCACTATGGGTAGTCGAGTCTTTTTTTACAAACTAAACACAAAGTCAGGAGCCTTCCAACAATCACCTTCTCATGAAAAAGGTCACCTATTCCTCCATTAGGCCGTTTAGGAGCTGCCAAACTCCAAGAGTAACAAGTATTCGGTCTTTGCTTGATCAAACTCCAAGCCAACAACATAAGGATGCACACTAATACCACTCGTAAGCACTCTCATTGACTTGAAGTGCCCTCAACCCTTGCTCAATGCCTCTCCATTAGTGTAAACCTTCCAGGGATTCAAGAGGGATCCAAATGATCTACATAACACACATATATATAGGCATGAGAGAGCATCCAAACGCTCAAAAAAGAATTGCTGAAGAAAGCACCACCTGATGATTCGTAGGGCCTCACTGTGGGCACTAGATTATACGGTGCTTTCTATTTCCACTGTTTGCTAACGGTAACTATCGAAGATTCTCCAAATATTCCTCACTAGACGATACACTATAACGAGTAAGATACATATGGTGCACAGTAGTAAGCATGTCCAACTTGAACTAGATGTTGCGTAGTACCACCAGATGATCCGTTGACCCCCATCAAGGTCATGCCACCAAATCATACCGTGAACTCAAGCAAGCATGCCCAAGTTGAACTTCAACTATGCACATAGACACCAGATCATCTGCTGGTCCACTCAGGACCCTTCACCATATCATTCGGTGAGTAACGCTGGCTAACACTAAGTGTATATGGCACATTGTTACTAGATGATCGATCGGTGGTCTAGATCTACTAATTTGTTGCACTTTAAACTTCAACATTATTAGAGACGAATGGGAAGAGGAGCGAGGAACAAGGCTCATCGGCATTTTGGTGTGGAGCTACTCCCATTTTCCTTCACTATCCGGCATGGGCTATTTTTTGATCCCTGCCCTTCCACCGTTACCTTTTCCTAGACGGGCTGGGCTCTTGGGAGCAAAACAAAAGAGGGCTGAAGAGTCCACACAGTCCACAAAACTCGATGCTGCTCGAACACGTGCATCTTCCGGCCCCAATAGGTAGCAGCCCATTCAGAGGCTCGCAGCCCGCGCTCATGCAGGCCAACACGTCCGCTACTGCATGGGCCGGATCTGCAAAGGAAAGCTCCATTCTTCATCGAGAATTGAACCCGCACTATCTTTTCCTCTCACATCCACTGTTCTGCTCGCAACACAAAACTGAAAACTGTGTCAGCAAGCCAAGTCTCCCCTCTCCCGTTATAGCATGCTCGCTGCTCCAGCAAGCCAATGGCAGCCCGGCGATGCTGCGCCTTTCCCCGCGACGGCGACGTCCCAACCGCCCCCGCATATCCAGTTTTAGTATACGGCCGCCGTTCTCCACACATGCGAAGCCTTGCCGTGATCTTCCCGCTCTTAATCCACATTTGCTCAAACGCAATCTAGCTAATCGCCCGACCCTTCGGCGCTTTGCTTACAGGAGCCGGTGGAGGAGCCACTGGCGCCAGTGTGTTTCGTCAGCCTTCAGGCCAGTCCTGCCTTCACTCCAACGCGTGCCCCGTCCTGTAGCGCTCGTCCATCGCCATGATGCATACGTCCATACACGGAGCACTTCCTTCCAGCCTTCCAGTTCCATGGAAAACGAGAGCCGTATATTGCGGTGCAAGACTTGGCTTGGGATCGATCATGCAGATAGATTGTATTATGTCGCGCGCCTGGTAATTCAACCCCTAAGCTGAAGCAACCATCCGGTCCAAGGCAGATCGTTTGTGGATATGGCGTCGTTAACCACGAGCCAGAGGCAGATCAAGTGTTCGTCAAGGCGAAACGAAACCGATCGATCGATCAAGCGATGCAAATTTCTCCTCTACGTAGCTTGCAATCCCAGCCAGCCACGCATTTCGCAGGATCGATCCGTATATATACGTGACCACCGCGTGGCATTCGCCTCATCAGCAGATTATTAACCAGGTCGAGTAACCTACCGGTAGCACGGTAATCTCGATAATGGCGATCGGCGGGGACGCGGGGCTCGTGGTCGGCGACGACAACATCATCCTGAACCCGGAGTTCGACGACGGGCTGGACAACTGGGCCGGGAACGGGTGCAAGATCGAGCTGCACGACTCGCTGGACGACGGCAAGGTGCTCCCGGCCAACGGCAAGTACTTCGTGGCCGCCACGGGGCGGACCGACACGTGGAACGGCGTGCAGCAGGACGTCACGGCGCGCCTGCAGCGGAAGCTGCTCTACGAGGCCACGGCCACCGTGCGCCTCCACTCATCGGCCGCCGCCGCCGTGGCGCCGTGCGAGGTGCGCGCCACGCTCGGCGTGCAGACGGCCGACGGCAGGCAGCAGTACCTCGGCGTCGGCAAGTAAGCTTGCTTTGGTTTCCTTCTCGCCGCCGCGGGGGGTCGTGAACGGTGCGCTGCGTTTCGCTGGCTCTGACGGAGGAATGGGGTGTGCAGGTCGCAGGTGTCGGACAAGGAGTGGGTGCAGCTGCAGGGGAAGATCCTGCTCAACAGCACGGTGGCCAAAGCGTCCATCTACATCGAAGGGCCGACGGCCGGCGTCGACGTGCTGCTCGACAGCTTGGTGGTGAAGCACGCGCAGAAGGCACCGCCGGCGCCGGCACCGGACTTCGAGGTGATTGAACACAGTTTCCTCGGATTTACATTCACCACCACACCATGCATTTTACAGTACTGCATTATCTGACGGACACGAACACGGACACGAGTAGCCCGGACAGTTCACTACAGTGCCTCTTGCGGCAAATCTGCTGCAATACGTGCATGTTTCTTCACGTTTCTCTGAATATGACATAGCACCTTAACCTGTTGAGTCCGGTAAACGTACAGAGCAGAAAAAGGGTAAAGTCCAATTTACACCCTCCAACTTTCACCAAAGTTCGGATTTCAACCTCGAACTTCAAAACTAGATAACTTTGGCCCTCCAACTCTTGAAACCGTTCAACTTTCAACCATGCGGGCGGTTTTGTCGCGTGACGAGACTCAAATTTCAAAAAATAGAAAACCCTTCAATACGATGTCGGATGAAGATAATTTTTATATGTAAATTATAGACTTCGATGAGATCTACAACTTTGTAGTTTTGAGTTTTTTCATTTGAGGACGTTAAGATGCTCGAAAAAATAATATAAAATTTCAGCACCATATTTTGTCGCGTGATGAGACTTAAATTTCAAAAAAATAGAAAACCCTTCAATACAATGTCGGATGAAGATAATTTTTATATGTAAATTGTAGACCTCGATGAGATCTACAACTTTGTAGTTTTGAGTTTTTTTCATACGAGGACGTTAAGATGCTCGAAAAAATAATATAAAATTTCGGCGCCTCCCGAAAATATCAAAAATTACTGTTCACCTGCAAAACCGCCCACAAGGTTGAAAGTTGAACGGTTTCGAGAGTTGGAGGGTCAAAGTTATCCGGTTTTGAAGTTGGAGGTTGAAATCCGTACTTTGACGAAAGTTGGAGGGTGTAAATTGGACTTTACCCGCAGAAAAATGTAGTACCAGTGTGTGTCAGATACTAAACCTTCCATTTCACTGTTCCGTTGGATTGGATGACGCAACGCAATCTACTTTGCTTGCTGCTGTGGTGCAGAATCTTGTGTACGGCGTCAACATCATCCAGAACTGCAACCTGGACGACGGCCTCAACGGCTGGTTTCCGCTGGGCCCTTGCACGCTGTCCGTCAACGACGGCGGGCCGCGGGTGCTCCCGCCCATGGCGCAGGAGTCGCTGGCGCTGGACGACGAGCCGCTCAACGGCAAGCACATCCACGTCACCAACCGCACGCAGACGTGGATGGGCCCCGCGCAGATCATCACCGACAAGCTAACGCTCTACGCCACGTACCAGGTCTCCGCCTGGGTCCGCGTCGGCTCCCAGCAGGCCAGCGGCGGCGGCGCGCCGCAGACCATCAACATCGCCTTCGCCGTCGACAGCCAGTGGATCAACGGCGGCCAGGTCCTGGCGCGCGACGAGCGCTGGTACGAGGTCGGCGGCGCGCTCCGCGTGGAGGCGAAGCCGGCGTCGCGCATCATGGTGTACGTGCAGGGCCCCGACGCCGGCGTCGACCTCATGGTCGCGGGTCTCCAGGTGTTCCCCGTGGACCGGAAGGCCCGCGTCAAGCACCTGAAGCGGCTCACTGACATGGTGCGCAAGCGGGACGTGGTGCTCAAGGTGACGGGCGCCGACGGGGCCGCCGTCAAGGAGGCCGACGGCGTGGAGGTGCGCGTGCGCCAGGTGTCCAACAGCTTCCCGCTGGGCGCCTGCATCATGCGCACCAACATGGACAACGAGGACTTCGTCGACTTCTTCACCAAGAACTTCAACTGGGCGGTGTTCGGCAACGAGCTCAAGTGGTACTGGACGGAGCCGCAGCGCGGGCAGGTCAACTACGCCGACGCCGACGACCTCCTCCGCCTCTGCTCCGACCACGGCATGTGCGTGCGCGGGCACTGCATCTTCTGGGAGGTGGACAACGCCGTGCAGCAGTGGGTGAAGATGCTGTCCACCGACGACCTGTCCGCCGCCGTGAGCAGCCGCATCAACGGGCTGCTCACCCGGTACAAGGGCAAGTTCAAGCACTACGACGTCAACAACGAGATGCTGCACGGGTCCTTCTACCAGGACAAGCTGGGCAAGGACATCTGCGCCACCATGTTCAAGACGGCCAGCCAGCTCGACCCGGACGCGCTGCTCTTCGTCAACGACTACAACGTCGAGAGCATGTGCGACATCCGCGCCACGCCCGAGGCCTACATCCAGCAGATCATCGGGCTGCAGGAGCAGGGCGCGCCCGTGGGCGGCGTCGGCCTGCAGGGCCACGTCAGCAACCCGGTGGGCCCGGTGATCCGTTCCGTGCTCGACCGGCTCGCCGTGCTCGGCCTGCCGATCTGGTTCACGGAGGTGGACGTGTCGTCGGCAAACGACCACGTGCGCGCCGACGACCTGGAGGTGATGCTGCGGGAGGCGTACGCGCACCCGGCCGTGGAGGGCGTCATGCTCTGGGGCTTCTGGGAGCTCTTCATGAGCCGTGACGACGCGCACCTCGTCGACGCCGAGGGGCAGGTCAACGAGGCAGGGCGCCGGCTGCTGCAGCTCAAGCACGAGTGGCTCACGCACTCGCACGGCCACGCCGACGAGAACGGCGAGTACAAGTTCCGCGGCCACCACGGCGAGTACCACGTCGACGTGACCACCCCCACCGGCAAGGTCTCCCAGACATTCACCGTCGACAAGGACGACGCGCCCCTGGTGCTCAACGTTAAAGTGTGAGCACTACTGCGTGCACGTTCAAATCATATATGGCGGGAAATACGGTGTCTATGATGGCATCCTAGCTATAGTACACATTTGCACTATTTATTTTACGCCTATCAGCTAGCCAGCCCGGTAACTACTCTCGTGAGAGAAATAAGGGCCTGATCAAATTCATCTATCTATCTATCTATCTATCTATCTATCTATCTATCTATCTATCTATCTATCTATCTATCTATCTATATATATACAACAAATACAAAAACGGGAATGAATGGCCGCATATTGTTTTCTTCTGTGTACTTAGCTTGTTTCTGAATCTTCTATGGTTCTTTTAATTCTTTTGAATGAGATACTCAATCATGCATTTTATTCAGAATACCTTGTATTTTGCATTTTATTCAGAATACCTTGTATTTTAGTACAAATTGAACACTGGATCTCTTATATTTCAGGACGGAGGGAATACAATGTTTCCCTTTGAAATGCATGCACATGTATTTATTGACTTCAAAACTGGTTGAACGCTTTATAAGGTTCTAAAAAAAATCAATGGCTTCAATAGTACGTAACACTCCCAGCAAGTTAATATATGTGTATAACTTATTTTCAAAGTTAAAACTTGTATATTTATTTAATTCTTATGTTTATCTAGTTTTGTTAGATCTTAGTCATCAATTTATCTATATACTTTTCTGTCCTCATTTCTAGTTTTCACATTTGCATGGCACCTACATGTGTGTATTTGTGTGTATTGACATGTGCTTAGTTAAAACTCTGTCCAAGAGACTCTCCATATCATTCATAATTACTAGGAATAGAGATTTTGATGAAGAAATACCCTCCAACAATTTTTTATTTTGTTATCCAAATTTAGCCATCTTTTATTCAGGATTTCCCGCTGGCTAAAGATAGAAAATGAGAATAGCTCTCTAGAGTGCACACAAGATATAGAAAAATTATTGGAGAATGAAAAGATATAGAAAATGACTTTTATGCAAATGACTCTTAAAATGATGAATTAGAGAGTGAGATTTAGAAAGACTCTTGGAGATGCTCTCATGTTTTCATATTCAAACATATATATATATATATATATATATATATATATATATATATATATATATATATATATAGACACTTTCTTATCTCTTTTATCTGGTTGTGATAGATTTTAGCCACCAATTTGCTTATATATTTTCCATCCCTATTCATATTTTCCCCTTCTCTTGTTGCTTCCATATGTGTTTCACATGTGTTTAGTTGAAACCTTAGCTTCAACTATGTGTTAGACATGCTTCGGGTTTGTTGCATACATTTATACGTGGTCTATATATGATGACACACATTATGCATGGATACCTTGTGCTATTTTTCCCTATATTAACAATGGTAGCAATAATACTTTAGAGGCATATATATAAGTACTTTAGGATTTTATAATGACATGTGTAGGCAATGTATATACAAATAATCTAGATGATACTTTGGGTTATTTTTAACAATAGCGGAGGTAGGAATTTACTAATTCAGATGCAAATTTATGAGGTTGCTTATTTTTTGTGATAGCATATATGGTAACTTAGATGAAGCTTAGGCATTAGGCTATTTTTTTGTAACAGTATAGTTAAGTAAATTAGATAAACATTATAGGGTTATTTACGCTAGTTTTTCCATGCATGGCTGATGTGGGGAAGTTTTTAGAAGAATCGATAAAATAATCGTTAATCATGATTAGAGTTTACCAAAGTTTGAAAGTTTTTTATTTTTTATAAAGGCTCCCAAAGAAATTTGTAGTAACACTAAGGTTGGTTGGGTTGAGATATTGAAAATTTTAGGAGTAGATTTATCTGGAAATAAATGTAGTTTCATAATAGTATTCTTTTGCTATAATATGTAAATATATTAACAAAATGTGGTCGGCCACAAATTGTTTTTTGTCAACTTTGTTAATGTCCTTATATTATCAAGATTTATTTGTAACGGAGGGAAGTATACAAAAAAATAATTTATTGTTGAAAAAACTTTCATATTGCGCATGATAGTTTTTGCAGTTGCTAACAATATACAATAAGCTAGTGACATGCAATTAGGAACCCCTAAATCAAATTAGTTAAGAGCAATTTAGTTCATTCAGTGTTTCCTTGTCTTTTGTCAATAATACTATTGTACATTGTAATTATAGTGAAAATTATAGATATGGAAAATTTATAACATTCTAAATTTCTAAGCATGGGTTTCTTCCTAACAAAAGGGAAAAAGGCATCCTTATATACAATAATCTAATTCACTTATCTTTGGATGACATTTCTTTTTTTATGATTATAAGGAAGAAGAGCCTACCATTTTTTTTAACATGAAAAAAAGAAGAAGCTCCTACAGCCTTTTAACATGAAAACACTAAAAGGTGCATAAAATGTAATAAGCACAATGATTTAAAACCTGGTGGGTGCATATACTCATCATACCCCATGACTCTACCACCATACCAAGATGTGTTTAAATTTGTTCCTTTCTTCATGAATATTTTGTTTACACTTAAAATAACGTGAATATATTTATCTAAAAAGGGCTTTAACTTGAGTACTTCTCCATGACTCTACCACCGGACTTAAACGTGCTTTCCTTCTGTATGAACCTTTTTGTTTTGCTAAAGAATGGAACGGATATATACTTATCCCATAAAGTTTTAGGACTTCCATAAAACAAAGAATATGCATGTCTAAGAAATTTAGAAATAATAATGCTTGAATTTTGAAAATCATTTGACTAGTGTTCTTTACTTTAATTTTGTACCTTTTTGTGTGTGTTCAGTAGTCGCTTCAAACCTTGTGGCATTGCCTGAACACCAGCAACTTCTGCAAAGATCTGATTCTGATCATAGCAAGTGACCCTCTTGCATTGACAGTCAGCTCGCACGCTACACCACTGCACTTTGAAGGCTGCGCACCAGGCTGGCTGCCGCAATGGTTGCATGAAAATGCAACTCATTCCTGCACACACAAGCACAGGCAGACAAATTGACAATTGTCAAGCAGCACTGCTTCAAGAAGAACATAATCATTAGCAACCTGATCCAATAATCGTGGCCATATTGTTCCAATTGAGTCCCAACAATAGCTAGCTAGACATGGACCATACATCAGAAGGAACATCCATGCATGCTGATATATGTGTGTACAACTGCTCTCATGTTAGTGAGACAAATAATAATAAGGTTACAACTTTATAACTTTGGCATTAGCTGCATATATATATGGATATGTATGTATATATGAGCAATGCAAGTAAAGAGACCATCAGATTTCTGTATATATAGGAAACACCACACGTCCACACCATCTATACCCAAATGATCACGTATGTATGTGTATGCATGCTGATCGATATGCATGCACGACAACAATCCATATGTCGACACCTCACGCGCTCAGCCAGGCGACATGCATTAATCGTCGTCACGGGCCACGGGGATACGAGCTTCCGCCGGTGAAGTACTGGCGCCCCTCCACGCGGAGACCGGCGGAGGCCGAGCTGCTAGAACCGCCGCCGCCGTGCGGGCCCAGCCTGTAATCTGCTGTGGCCAGCGCCATCGTCGGCGGCGCCGGCTTCCAGTGGCGCTTCCGCTGGTTGATGAACCAGTTGTTGATCTGCTTCGCGTCGAGCCCCGTCGACTCCGCCAGCGCCGCCTTCTCCAGCTCCTGCATGCATGTGCCGGCGGCGTGCGTCATCAAGTGTCGCATTGCATGATCGTCTTACATGCATGCATGCATATGTTGTCATGTTACGTACCGAGGGATAGGGCCATCTGTAGTGCAGCTGCCACCAGTGGAGGAGCTTCTGGCGCGCGTCCCTCGGCAGCTTGCCTTTCTTCTTCTTCCTCGAGAGCTCCCTCCAGAGGCTGCTCAGGTAGCCGCTGTACTTGTTCAGTAGGCGGTTCTTCAGCTCCTTGTCCACCCCGGACGGGCTGCCGGTCTCAGGGACCGGCAAGCTGCCCAAGTCGGCGGTTTCTTGCTCGTCTTCGTCGGAGGAACCGCATCCTTCTTCATAGCCATTGTCATCTACTCCATGATTTGCAATATTGTGAGTCCATGCATGTTACAAAATCATGCATGCAAAGATGGATGCTTCGAACTGCAGTGCATATTCTTAAGAACTGTAACCATCAAACCGCTCTGTTATGACTTCTTTGACCCCTGCAAAGCTCTGACCTAATTGTTTAGGCCATCCGTCCTTGGGACCGGGAGCTAGACTATTTCTCAAATCTCAAATACTGTTTCTTTATTAGAGTCTTAATTTGTTGGATTTTACTTAGAATGTTCTATATAAGAATCAATCTAGAATATGATATTTCAAAACCACGATATAGATGCTGACAAGTTTATAACCATATAAACATATATTATGAAAACCTTATAAGCACATTTTGTACAATACTTATCAAATTAAACATTCCTTTTATGTGTACCAGACTACCCGTTGTTTCATATTAGAAGGCACCCAAGGCTGAAGCACCCATCACTGGCGCCAATTTTCTGAATGACTAGGGGAAGCTTGGATGAGACATGATTATCTATCAATAGCTTTAGATACAAGATGTTATACTTAATTTTACCGATCGACTAAAATATTGTAACTTACACTCAACCCATACGAACGTTAGATTGGCATCTAATGATCAACGGTCATTTTCATTCTCACGTTTTCCATTCCTTCCATGCATGCCTTACCCCTGCACTGTCTTTCTCCTCTTGTCTTCCACAAAGTCCGATTTTTTTTTTTATGAAACAGGAGGGGCTTAACCCCCTACTGGAATTTTATTAAAATGAAAGAGCAACAGACTAAGTCCGATTATTGGATTTGCCACCCACCCACTCACCTCCTCGCTAGTTCAACATTTTAGGGCCATTGCCTTTTCTCCCTCACCTAGCACACTATGTGTTGCCCTCTTGCTGCTCGAGGGGCTGCTGTTGTGATTATCGCCTACTGCAACATCAAACTATTGCCCACTACTTTTTCAACACACAACGTAGGTATCATTCCAAGCCAAAGGGACAAGAAACCACCCCAAAATTCGAAATTAAGCACTGGAAACTATCAATTGTGCAAAGTTAAGGCCCTGAAACCATGCTTCGTGATTTTTGTGGTTAAGTAACAACATTAGCCATTAAAACTAACATATTTGTCAAGAATGTGCTTAATAGGTCATATGGATGCAATGCAAGAGAAATCCATGAAGCTAGGATGAAGAAGTAAGCAAAACAGGAAAAGACTTAGAAATTGTGTACATCAGATGTTTGATGTGAACAAAACTACAAGAACTAGAGTTTGCTATACTTCAAAGTAAAAGTGTTCAAGATACTTGATAATCTAGTGAGTAGAAAATACAAAGAGTAGACTTTTGCATAGTGCTTAAGGAGAAGTGTGCAGAATGCACATGTGGATGATTTTGTGGTAGCATCGGACGAAACACCAATGTATTATCCCACAGAAAGTAGGAGTTTAAGATCTTGGTGTTTACACACACCAAATGATTAGAATGTGAACATCATACAATACCACATGAGTTTCACGTAGTAACTTGAGCCTGTGTCCAACGACTAGTTGATGAGTAGTAGTACACCTCGGATGATCTGGTGTATACACAAGAGTGCCTATAGGATCATTTTGTGAGTACATTTGACCATTGGGCAATGGCTACTTTTGGTTGACTGGTCAATTTATACCCCTATCCATGAATTTACTTGGGGTTGCTCGAGTTGTTGAAGACTAGAGGCAAGCATAGGCACTTGAGAAGAGCTCCAAACTATCAAAGTGGTAAAGTGATCATCCAAAGGGTATTAGTACAAGCATGAGAGAGAGAGAGAGAGAGTAGTGGTATAAGCCTAGTATGATAGAGTGATCTCAAGTTGTTATGGGTTCTACGGTGAACCATACTTGTATGGTTGTACCCAAGGTACGACATCCTTGTTGGCCCTTTGCCTTAGTATATATGGAGCAGTGACAAGATCTTGTGTGAGGACGAGGAGTCCCCTTTGTTCCTTGCTAGATCAAACTCCATAGTGAAGAAGTGTCAAGTGATTGAATGAAAGGCTACTTGTGAGGTTTGCTTTTGTAGTGAGTGGTTTATCCATCTTGGCAGACCCTTTGTGTTATATAGTCTATGGTCTTGACCGGGAGAGAGCCTTGGTAACTGGGAGAATAATGTCCTTGGTGGAGATTCCTTGACTATGGGTAGGGTTTTGCTCACCAATACCATCGGATAAACCTTCGTGATGTGCTCGCACCCTTTTTTCTCATCTCATTACTTGCCACTTTTTTGTTTTCACATTTGCTTGAGTTCTATTGTATATTCACTTACATTCCTAGAGTACTTTGATAGTGTAGTTATTAATAGGACTGTGCTCTAGGTTGCAGAGCTCTTTGTGATGGGGGTAAAACACTATGGATAAACCTTATAGCACATGGTTTAGGTTTGTCTTTGAGCAAAGTTTTAGTGTGAACAGTACATAGGATAGTTTTCAAGTGACCTAAAATTCATTCTTCCTTTCCCCTCTTAGGATTCCTGGCCAGGCACCGTATCGTTCCTTTCAGCATAGGAAAAACAGTTCAGATTTTTAGACTTGCATACGCCGCCATTAAGTGTTATTAGCATTGTGTTGTTATCAGATTTGTAGAGTTGTGCCATATATAGTACCATACCATATATAGTATGTTGGCCCCTGGATCTTCCACACGGGTGAGCCGACCGCTCACCGGCGTTGCCGACCACACACTATGGCTAAAGGTAGAAGAAGGGAGGAAGAACATAGTACACACACAACACAAGCACCAGCATTGGCCGGAGCTCTACAGAGGAGATGGCAAAACTGAACTCGCTCTCTTTACTGAGTTGCAGTGGGAAACTATATATACAACTCTACCCATCTAATCCTAGTACACAGACATGTTAGGCTACCATGCTGCTATAGTGACTAGATGTGACAGCAGGGCTAACTTTGACGTCTGCCCCTGCTGTGGCTACAGTGCGACAGGGGAGCCTTTCGGCGCCTGCCCCTGTCTCGGCTACAGTGCAATAGCAGGGAGCCCTTTCGGCGCCTACACCTATCGCGCGTTCACACGGTGGGAGAGCAGCAGATTACTTTATAATTCTTCCCCTAATCCTGCTGCTAACCCTAGAACCTCCATCATGCAGATCATCTTCTTCAGCTCCATGAACCGAAGAAGGCTGAGCAGCTTGGTGAGGACGTCTATGAGTTGCCGACCAGTTTTGACGAACTCAATGATGATCTGCCCTCCATCGACACAGTCCTTGAGCAAGTGGAACTTGATGTCGATGTGCTTGCTCCGGTCGTGGAGAACCAGATTCTTCGTGAGGGCGATGGCGGGCTGGTTGTCCACCATCAGTGCTGGTGGGTGAGCTTCCACACCGGTTAGCTCGCTCAGCAGTTGGCGCAGCCACACAGCTTGGCACGCCGCTATGGCCACCGCCACATACTTTGCCTCACACGTGGATAGTGCCACCACCTTCTGTTTCAGCGACAACCATGAGATTAGAGCCGACCCGAGGAAGACGAGCACGCCAGAGGTGCCCCGCCGTCCGTCGATGTCCCCCGCCATGTCTGCATCATTGAACACAGTGAGCTGCAGCCCACTTCCACCGGTCTTGGAGAAGACGATCCCCTGATCCACCATTCCCTTGACGTAGCGCAGCAACCGCTTCACCGCAGCCCAGTGATCCTCTCGGGGATCCTCCATGAAGCGGATGATGTAGCCCATGGTGAACGCAATGTCCAGCCTCATGTGGACTAGGTAGCGTAGACTGCCGACGATGCTCTGGTAGAGTGTTGCATCTACCTTCGCCGTGGTACTGGCCTTCGTCAGCTTCAGCTGCTTCTCCATCGGAGTCACGCATGGCTTGCACTCAGCCATGCCGCTCCGTTGCAACAGCTTCGAGGCATACGCACTCTGACCGAGCATGAGCGCCTCCTTCCCCTGTCTCACCTCGATGCCGAGGTAATAGGAGCGCGCGCCAAGATCGCTCATTCGAAAACAAATCGCCATCTCGTGCTTGAAGCTGTCGATGTCCTCCGCACATGAGCCAGTGATGATCAAGTTGTCCACATATACGCCGACGACGAGCTCCTCCTTCCCCCGTTGTCACGTGTAGAGCGCGTGCTCGGTCGCGCACCGCTTGAACCGAAGCTCGCCCAGCATGGCGTCAAGCTTGGCGTTCCACGCTCGCGGGACCTACCATAGCCCATAGAGCACCTTGCGCAGTTGAGCACCCTGCGCTCTGCTCCCTTGATGGCAAAACCTGGAGGTTGCCTGACGAAGACCGTCTCCGCCAGCTTGCCATTGAGGAAGGCCGATTTTACGTCCAGGTGATGGATGCGCCAGTCCTTCGCTATGCCAAAGCCAGCAGTAGTCGGATAGACTCCATGCGTGCTACCGGCGCAAAGACTTCCTCGAAGTCGATGCCCTCGCGCTGGACAAACCCTCGTTCGATGAGGCGCGCCTTGTGCTTGACAGTGGTGCCGCGCTCGTTCCGTTTGACCTTATACGCCCACTTCAGGCCGACCGGACATCATCCTAGAGGTGGATCGATGAGCTCCCAAGTCTCGTTTTCCTCGATCGTCTTCATCTCCTCCAACATCGCCCATCGCCAATTTGCATCGCGCTCGGCCAGCGCGAACGTGGGTGGTTCCTCTGCACTGACGAGAAGCAGCTCTAGGTCATTGAGCAGCCAACCCACCTAGCTTGAGGACCCTGTGTCGCCGACGATGTCGTCCAGCCTGCGGAACCGTATCTCCTCACAAACATGGAAAGCATCCACGAACTCTGCGATGTTGCTTGGAGGTGAGGCGAACTCGATCGACGTCGATGAAGTCCCCTGTTCCGTCGGAGTGGTCGGCACAGCACCCGGAGTGCTCGACACCCTGGCTACAGTGCTCGGCACTACTCCTGGACCACTCGTCACCACTCTAGGAGTGGTTGGCACCACTGCAGGAGTGCTCGGCACTAGTCTTGGAGTGGTCGGCACCATTGTAAGACCTCTCGG